CGCCTACCAGTGGTGGCTTCAACCTCTTCAAACCCAGCCCCACCTCACCAGAACCATGACATGTACCACAGTCCAGCATGCACATAATCGGGCCGGTCATCGGGACGAAGAGAGAGAGCAGCAGAGGTCAAGTGAGGAGGAGAAGAAAAAAAAACAGAAGAGGATGAAAAGAAAAGAAAATCTGCTTAACCTCTAGGATTTGCACTGTTTTATTCCCCAGATGACAAGCCGCCATTACACTGCGGAGTGCACCCTCTTTCCCCTCCTGTTCTGGCTCTGTGCTGGTCTTCATCACACACACACACACACACACACACACACACACACACACACACACACACACACACACACACTCTCTCTCTCTCTCTCTCTCTCTCTCTCTCTCTGAGATGCCAAATGACATCCTTTCAACAGCATTCCTAAAATGTAGCCCATTCTGACACTGCCCAGGGGTGTGGAATGGACATGCACAGCGCTCCCATCTCTTATGGGACACCTGTTCTCCCAGAATCCCTCACAACCCCTGCTGTTGTATTCCTGCCTCTTTTATTCTGCATTCAGATTCTCACACACACAAACAGGCACACGCACACACACACACACACACAAACAGGCACACACACACACACACGCACAAACAGGCACACACACACACACAAACACGCACAAAAAACAGACACACTCCTGTACTCATATCTTTGTGGGGACCATCCATTCATTTCTATGGCTAAATCCCTAACCCCTACCCAGTACTAACCTTAACCATAAACAAACAAACAAAATATAAGACTTTTGGCATTTATAGTTTTTTGATTGCAGTCACAAATTTTTATAAAATTGAATTTCCCCTTGTAGGGACAAAAAATGGTCCCCACTATGTTTTTATCACAACGTAATGTACATCTGGCCCGCCCACCCACACCCACGCACACACACACACACACATACACACACACCCTCCTGACCCTTATGCTTACTTCAGCTTCATCATTAACCAGCCCTCACCTGCTGGAATAAATGTCAGCATTGTTAAAGCGTAACAGTATCACGCACCTCGAGAGAGTGCATGGAGGAAGCAAACAAAGACCAGGGACAAAACCAATAACGTGGCAGCGTTCGCTAATCAAAGAGGTGGGGGGGTGTCACAGTCACTACTACACCTCAGTGAGTCCCTTATGCGATATCACAGGGGACTCAGGCTATCAGAACTGGCAGGACTGGCTTTGTGCTCCCAAGGGAGATACCTGATGGTCTCTGCAAACCAGGGACTCTTTTGTGCCATGTGACTTGGGGGCTGCTCCCCTCTCTTTCCCTCGCTCCTCCTTCCTCACATACCTGCCCAAACAAAGCACATGCAAACACCCCAGGGAAAAAAAGGCAGAGAAGCAGAGCGGACAGGAGAGAACACGAGGCTTCCATCTTCAGCTCCAACCAGGGCAGTCAACAACAGGGACTATAACAATGGCAAGTCCCATCATGCACAGCGGCGCCGTAGCAGCTACCACAGATGGGACTGCTAGCTCTTCTGGTCAGCAGTGCTATCACTTATGACGAGAGGATTACTGGTGAGCTAATGGAGGAAGATGAGGGGGTACACCGCAGGGAGGGGGGAGGGGTGTTATGGAATGTCAGCATGATTCAAAGCAGCTGAAATAACAGGAACAGCGTGTGCACACACACACACACACACACACACACACACACACACACGCAAGAGGTGTAACGCCCAAACAAAGGCATCATCATGCACTCCTAGGGCCAGCAGGCACAGAGAAGGTCACCCTACAAACTCTAACCATAAAAGCAACCTATTCAAACCTGGCCCTAATATATAACAATAAAGAGAGCAACTTTCACTTTAAAACCCTGAATGCTGACTGTTGAAAGACACATGATTGGGAGGAACCAATCAGGGGTAGTGAACCGCAGGGAACTAATCGGGGGTAGCGAACTGCAGGGAACCAATCAGGGGGAGAGCTTTATTTCATTCAGCTTCTTAATTGGCCATTTTAGGGCCACATGATAAAAGGGGCTGGTCCAAAGTCCCAGTGGGTGGGGGAGCTTACCATTGCTCAGCTCATGATGAAGCTTGCACCCAGTAAGCAGCCCACTTCCACGCGCCTCCCAATAAGCCAGGGATTCCCAGCTGTGTCTGTTCTGGTTCTCCTCGGCGCAGATGAGCAATGCGACACGGACCCCCCGACGATTCTCAGTATCTGACCACCCTCATGCTTCCCCACGAGCCCATACACTGACATCCTCAGCTGCCAGTTTCCTCACAGTACCTAAGGTGAAATGATCTCCTGTGGGTGCCTGACCAGGTAGTGTTGTAGCAGCGACGGTCTGGAATGCGCTGCCACAGAGTCTGCGAGATGTAAAGTCTATTTCAACTTCTAAGCTACGGTTAAAAACATATCTATTGGAGGAATGTTACAATACATCATCCAGTTTGTACGGCTGTTGGTTTTTTCCCATTTTTGTTGTTACTGTTCTATGGTTTTGTGTTGGATCGTATGCACTATAAAGCGACCTTGAGCATGCGAAAAGCGCAATACAAATAGGACTCATCATCATCATCATCATCATCAATATGGCCACCTCGGGGTACACAAAAAAAAACTGGACCCTGAGGGGGTCGGGCTGCAAAGTGGCAAAGGGTGGGGGCAGCCACAGGAAACCAGGGTGAGGTCGGAATGGGACTTAGCAGCTATTATGAGTCCTCTCACAGCCAGGAATTCCCTACCATGGAATTCCCATTTGGACAGAGGGGACAGGGCAAGAATCCGGGAGTACCGCACCCTGTGTGTGTTAGAGAGACAGCTGGGATTCTTACCCAACTGCACAACAACCAGAGACACTGGGGGATGTATCTGCATTCACACACTGTAAACACACAATGACACCACACAGCATTGCATCCATACCCCTGTACGCATACTGATGGCACAGCACTGCATCTACACACCAGTACGCACACTGATGGCACAGGACTGGATCCACACACTGACGGGGCAGCACTGCATCCACACACTGACAGCACCGCACTTCATCCACATTCCTGCACGCATACTGATGGCAGAGCACTGCATCCACACATCAACGGCACAGCAATGCATCCACAGACCCGCACATACACTGACAGCAAAGAACTGCATCCACACACTGAGGGCACAGCACTGCATTCACTCTCTTCCTCCATAAGAAACATGACCACCCCAGCACAGAACATCCACCAGACCCTACAGACCTCTGCATTGCTCACTGTCTGCATAAACACGCACACAGGGGGAGAAGACATCACACACCTACGTCAGCAGAAGTGTGAACATGCAGAAACACCAGGAAATGAGGGGTGAGGGCAGAGGAGGTTCCTGAGACTCATGGGCTTCACTCAGGTCCACTTCGCTAACTTGATTAGATCACTGCTGATATGATAAATGACAAAAATGGCTCCCTGAATGACCCTCAACACCCCCGAGTCAAAGAGGAGCTGCCCACTTTTCCTCAGCACTGCTCAGGCCAGCAAGCGCACTCAGTGCCTCAACCTCACAGCACTGGGGGGAAGGGGGGTCATAGCAGCCAAGTTTAACTAACCGT